GCCCGCGCCGCGCCCGCGCCCGTCGCGCGCGGCGCGACGCACGACCCCCGTCCTCAGAGATCCTCCGGAGGGGGCCTCAAAGAGCCTCTGGATTCCTGGGCACCCCGCGGCCAGGAAGGAGGGATGCCTCGAGGGCCTCGGAGACCTCGCACTGGTGGTACTCCCCCGACGCCGTTGCCTTGGCCCAGAGTCTCGTCGCCGTCCGAGAAAGGCTCGCGTCTTGGAGCGCCGCGCCCGCGCCTCCTCCCCTCCCCTACACCGTAGGCGATGCTTAAGAAAACTTAAGTTTTCGGCCAGAGTCTCGATTATTCTTAACGTTTCAATGTAAATCTTAAGATTTTGATAGAAGTTCTGGGTTTTATTCCATTTCTGAGACTATGAATTTCTTAACCCATGATTTCTTAAGCATTTCGCAGGGTGTACACTGGACTGGACTGGACTGGAGTTGTCAGGACTGGAACCGAATTGGACTCGGGCGGGCTGGGCTGGATTGAATCGACCTGGTCTGTGCTGGACAGGATTGGAATGGGTCGGATTGGATTGGTCTGGATTGGACTCCACTTACGGCGGCGTTGACAATATTGAACAGTATTGCCGTGGGTAGGATAGAACGCAGCCGTACAGAAGACACGGGCGCAGCAATCGGCACAGCCTTTAGCACAGCTCGCGTGCATGCGCGCACGCACGAATCGGTACTCTCTTCCGAGCTGCTTGAGCGCGTGCAGCCGTCAGACCAGGCGGAGGTCTCCACCACAGTGCGTCGAGGACCACCCTCTCAAGCAACCGAGGGCCTGTCGAGCATGGAGGAAATGCGATATACCGATTGCCGCTTCCACTTGGAGCTGCACACCTCGGTGCCACATGAGCTCCTGGAGCTGCGCCTCGACGTGCTGGGCGGCCTGGGCGTGCCGCGAGCGCCCTGGGCGCCGGCCCTGCCTCCGGGCGGGGCCTCCCGCTCTTCCGGTGCGTGCGTGCAGGGGGGGCGCTCGGACGACCGCTTCCGCCCCCCGTCCTGCCCTCCCAGGGCTCGTTTCGATTCCTCCGATTCGATTCGATTCGACTTCGATGGATTCCGATTCCGATTCGAGTCGATTTGGGCTTCCGATTTGGATTCCGATTTCTTATTGGAGGCATACTAGCCTGCCGATTTCCGCCGATTCGACGTTTCCCGATTCGGCTGCCGATTTCCGCCGATCCGATTCATGTCGATTGCCGATCCGATGTATCGATTCGATTCTGGGCTCTCCTGCCCTCCCTCTGCCCTCCCCGTCGCGAGCTGCGCACGTGCCCCGCCGTCAGCCTGACCGCCCGTCGGACCCTCGCCGCAGGCCCCCAGAGCAGAACATGATTCCCCTCCCTTCCCCTGCTTCTCGCCCGTCGTGGGCACACCAGCAACGCCGCCTCCTCCTCCTCCTCCTCCTCCTCCTCCTCCTCCTCCTCCTCCTCCTCCTTCCGCCGCGCCGAGGGTCTGCCACGCTGTCTGCAACGTTGTCCGGGTCGGCCGACAGGCCCGCGCTGGCTGCCCCTCCGCCGGCCCACGCTCCCGCTCATGCCTTCCTCTCCGCCTCCTCTCCCCCCCGCCCTCCCCCTTCTCCCCCCCTCTCCCTCCCCCCTTCCCCTTCTCCCCTCCCTCCTCCTCCTCCTCCGCCTCCTCCTCCTCTCACGCCTTTCTGTTGTGGTCTCGCAGCACAGCACATTCTCCACACGGCACGGTATACATATACATTCAATTATATTTGTGTATTATATGTGTATGTTATATTCGTACATATTTGTATATGAGTATATAGATATATAACTCAAAAACGATTCCAGGATTTTTCCCAACCGTACTGTGGAGTTGGGTCCTCGTTTTGAAGAGACGGTCCCCGCGTTCCTCCTCTCCTCCTCCTCCTCCTCCCCCTCCTACCCCTCCTCCCCTCCCTCCTTCTTCTACGCGCTTCACCCACCCAGTACACAGCGTTTCGTGGCCCCATAGGGAGCTCCACGGAAGGTCCCAGTGGCACCGCCCGCATGCGTCCGCCACCACCCAACACGGCCCTTGCTCCCTGCGTTTCTCCCACCCAGTACAGGGTTTCGTGGCCCCATGAAGGGGGCTCCACCGAAGGCCCCAGTGGCACCGCCCGCATGCGTCCGCCACCACCCAGCACAGCCCTTGCTCCTTGCGTTTCTGCCACCCAGTACAGGGTTTCGTGGCCGCATAGGGAGCGCCACCGAAGGTCTCAGTGGCACCGCCCGCATGCGTCCGCCACCACCCAGCACAGCCCTTGCCCCGTGCGTTTCTGCCACCCAGTACAGCGTTTCGTGGCCCCATAGGGAACGCCACCGAAGGTCCCAGTGGCACCGCCCGCATGCGTCCGCCACCACCCAGCACAGCCCTAGCTCCCTGCGTTTCTCCCACCCAGTACAGGGTTTCGTGGCCCAATAAGGGGACTCCGCGGAAGGTTCCACTGGCACCGCCGGCATGCGTCCGCCACCACCCAGCACAGCCTTTGCTCCATGCGTTTCACCCATCCAGTACAGCGTTTCGTGGCCCCATAGGAAGCTCCACGGAAGGTCCTAGTGGCACCGCCCGCATGCGTCCGCCACCACCCAACACGGCCCTTGCTCCCTGCGTTTCTCCCACCCAGTACAGGGTTTCGTGGCCCCATGAAGGGGGCTCCACCGAAGGTCCCAGTGGCACCGCCCGCATGCGTCCGCCACCACCCAGTACAGCCCTTGCTCCCTTCGTTTCACCCTCCCAGTGCAGCGTTTCGTGGCCCCATAGGGAGCTCCACGGAAGGTCCCAGTGACACCGCCCGCATGCCACGCCACCACCCAACACGGCCCTTGCTCTTTGCGTTTCACCCGCCCAGTACAGGGTTTCGCGGCCCCATAAAAGGGGGCTCCACCGAAGGTCCCAGTGGCACCGCCCGCATGCGTCCGCCACCACCCAGCACAGCCCTTGCTTGCTCCATGCGTTTCACCCACCCAGTGCAGGGTTTCGTGGCCCCATGGGGAGCTCCACCGAAGGTCCCAGTGGCACTGCCTGCATGCGTCCGCCACCACCCAGTACAGCTATTTCTCCTTTCGTTTCACCCACTCAGTACAGTGCTTCGTGGCCCCATAAAGGGGGCTCCACCGAAGGTCCCAGTGGCACCGCCCGCATGCGTCCGCCACCACCCAACACGGCCCCTGCTCCGTGCGTTTGTGCCGCCCAGTACAGGGTTTCGTGGCCCTATAGGGAGCGCCACCGAAGAAGATATTCCAATTACGGTACTCACAACTGCATATGGTTGGGTCCTTCGCCAGGCTAATTTATAAAATGTAGGCCACACAAGTTCAGAAACGGTCGTGGATTTTTCAAATCTACCCTTGGAGAATTTCCCAGACTCGCGCGCGATTTGCCTTACAAGGTCTTTGGAAATCCGCCGAGGCGCGCAGTGCGCGGTGGCGGGCGACGGGGCGGCGCGCCACCGTCCCCCCCCCCCCCCGCGCCCGGCAGCGAAAAAGGGGATCAGCAAATGCCAAATAGCCCCCTACGGGCGATTACTCGATTGCGACTGGGTGACCGACCAGCGGCGGCAGGCAGAGTAGACAATATCCGGCGCAAAGTGTACCCCGCGAGAAGGCTGCTCGACATCCAGGAATTCCCGGAACGCAACAATAACAACTTGTGTTAATAGATTCTTCTCGTCCTATCTCGGGGCCCTCCACTGTCCCCAGGACTGTCAGAAAATAACTCAGGATGGAAAGTTTGCCCTGGGGAAGAAGGGACCAGGGTCCAGGGCCCTTTTCCTTCAGCACCCGTTTCCTCAGGCTAATAGATCAGGAGGCTTGTGACGTGGTCAGTGCATGTGGGAGGTCAGCCAGAGCGCCGGATCTTGCAGGATCCTGCAAAGCCAGGGGCGCATTGACCCGGGTTGGGGCGCAAGCTCCTGCAGGATCCCGCAGGATCTTGCAAAGTTTGACTGGTCCGGGCTTGCATTGACCCAGGTCAGTAGAAGCCCGATTTGAAACTTGTTTCTGCAAAGCACCCCGCCATCTTAGCAGACCGCCCACCTTGCCAGATAGCCGGGTGCGCGCCGCCAAACGTGGCCCTGGGCCCCGCGGGCCTCAATAACGGAACGAAGAGCCTCCGTAGCCATTTGGGGTCAAGCCATGTTGGCGGCCGCGCCCGCGGCCTTGATGGAGCGCCCAGAGCACCCAGATCCCTCCGCGCGCGGCAAGGGAGCGTTCGCGCCGAGAGCGGCGCAGGGCGAGGCGCTGCCGTGGCCTTCCACGCTCGGAGGCCGGGACAGCTGGACAGTTGCCGTGCGGAACACTTTCCTGCACTTCCAGGATACCCCCGGGGAGGACATGGCCCTCCGGAGCCTGCGCACCTCGTCGTCGGCGCCTGCGTTGCTGACCCCGTGGGCGGGCCCGGAGGTGCCGATCGGCGAGCCGGCGTCGACTGGCGCCGAGCGGCGCACCACCGTGATGTTCCGCAACGTGCCTTACGTGCTCACGCGAGGCATGTTTGTGGAGCTGCTGAACTCTCAAGGCTTCCAAGGGCAGTTTGACCTCGTGTACTTGCCAATGGACTTCAAGACGAACCAGGGGCGCGGCTATGCGTTTGCAAACGCGGTCAGCACTGATGTTGCCATCCGCCTCTTCGACGTCTTCGAGGGCTTCCAGGCGTGGCCCAAGAAGAGCTCGAAGGTGTGCAGCGTGTGTTGGAGCGCCCGGCAGGGCCTCGACAACAACGTCCACGCCTACCGCAACCTCGAGGTCATGCAGGCGAACTTCCCCGACGCCTGGAAGCCGGCCTTGTTCTCGCAGGCTTGCCAGGTGCCCTTCCCTGAGCCCACGCGGAAGATCGCGCGCAACTGGAATAAACTTCGCGGCAATGGCGGTTCTCCGCGGATCTGAGAGGTGCGCAGCGGAGGTGGGCTTACAGCAGCGCGACCCAGGTCTGGCCCGATGGTGGAGGTTGTGGTGGTGGGGGTTGGACGGCAGTTACGGGGATTGGGGAGTGGGGGGGAAGAGCGGGCGTTTTCGCCCGAAAGCGGCGCGACCCGCTGGCATCCTCAATCTCAGGGGCAAGCTCTCGAATGGCACCGTCCATTCTGGCCCTCGTGTCTCAGTTCCTGCCCCTGTGGGCCTCGGCGCGCTTCTGCCCCCGCTCCGTGGGCCTCCGTGCGAGTCTGCCCCCGTGGGCCTCTTCCCTCCCCTTGTGGGCCTCCGTGCGCGTCTGCCGTGCGCGAGCCCGCCCCCGCTCCTGGCTTCGAGGAGCCCTTGCTCGCACGACTGTCTTTTCTAGGGGGCCAGGTGCGAACCCTACACCCCAGGCGATGCTCAAGAAAGTTACGTTTTCGGCCAGAGTCTCGATGATTCTTAATGTTTCAATGTAAATCCTAAGATTTCAATAGAAATGCTGGGTGTGTGCTCAGATTCTGAGACCATGAATTTCTTAACCCATGGTTTCTTAAGCATTTCGCAGGGTGTACACCTGCCCCCCACGATTTCTGAGGGGGAGGGTGGGGCTCAGTTTGCTCGGGAGCTCCCGAGCGAAGTGAACCCCACCCTCCCCCTCAGAAATCGTGGGGGGTAGTAAAACGACGCGAAGATCGGGACAAAGTCGGATAGGGATGACTCGAAACCTCTGAGAATCGGCGGGTTTGGAGGACGTATTGGGCGCCGCGGCCGCTCCAGAGCGTTCCGGGACGCTCTGAGAGCGCTCCGGAACGCTCTGGAGCGATTTCTCCCGATCCTAGCCCTGTTTTAGGAGGAGGAGGAGGAGGAGGAGGAGGAGGAGGAGGAGGGAGGAGGAGGAGGAGGGTCCGCATCTGGCCCCCTGTTTCCGCGCCCGGCCTCGACCTCCGCCCGCCCCCCCGGAGCGGGGCCTGCCCCTCCGGGAGCGCGCGGGCGCGGGGAGCTGCCGCGGCGGCCGCAGCAGGCACGCCCCGGCATTGGCTCGGGGGCTTGTTTTCCACCACCACCACCATGAGTAGGAGGAGGGGGTCCTCCTCCTCCTCCTCCTCCTCCTCCTCCTCCTCCTCTTCTTCCTCCTCCTCATCCTCCACATCCTTCCCCCCTCCAACTTATGGTGGTGGTGGTGGAAAACAGGCCCAGCATTGGCCCCGGGGCGCGAGGCCTCTCTGGCGGCGCGCGGGCGCCTCGGAGCCTGGCGCTCGCTGGGCTCAGATCTTCCCCCGGCTCCGGGGCACCACTTTTGAGTCGGGCCTGTCCCCCATACAGGGTCGGGGGGGTGGACAGAACCCCCAGCAGTGACACGTCGATGGGTGAGTTGTCCGTGCTCGGTTCTCGAGAGGGCGCCGTGGCCGTCGTTTTCCAGGCCTGCGCCCGCCAGGTTTTGGCCCGAGGTCGTTTTCACTAAACCACGATTTACTAAAGGGAGGTCTGTCCATCCCCGACAGGACGATTTTTGACGAAAAATACAGAAATACCCCAAAAGTGCTCCAAAATGGCAAAAAAATGCTCCAAAAAATAGTCCCCGGGCTGTTTTTGGACTATTTTTGGATTGTTTTTGGGGCACTTTTTATGTTTCGTCGAAACTCCCGCTGTAGGGGGACAGGCCCGGCTTAACACCACTTCGATTCCTCCGATTCGATGCGGTTCGACTTCGCTTGCTTCGGATTCCGTTCCGATTCGACTTGGGATTCCGATGTGGGCTCCGATTTCTGCCGGTTCGACGTTTCCTGATTTGTTTGCCGACTTCTGCCGGTCCGACGCATTTCGATCGCAAGTCCGACTTATCGATTCGATTCCGGGCTCTCCCGCTGTTCGCCGCCGCGATTGCGAGGGGGGTGTTCGCTGGAGGGCAGGCAAACGGCCGCCACCGCTAGCCCGGAGCCATTCATTTTTCCAACGGCTTCTGACGGGCCTGTTTTCCACCACCACCACCATAAGTTGGGGGGGGAGGGGGTCCTCCACCTCCTCCTCCTCCTCCTCCTCGTCCTCCTCCTCTTCCTCCTCCTCCTCCTCCTCGTCCTCCTCCTCCTTCCCCCCTCCAACTTATGGTGGTGGTGGGAAACAGGCCCATCAGCTTCGGCGAGTCCTGTCCGTCGGTTTCATCCCGCGTCTGGACTTATTATGAGCCTGGTTCGAATTTGGTTAGCGTTTGCTGTTAGCGTTGCCAAAATCTCCGCATGGAGCTTTTTGAGGTGGGCCTGAGGGACCGCTTGCCGGGCTCAGACCTTATCAGTTTTCGTATTTTTCGAGAGTCAGAGCTCTTCTCCATGGCAGCGCGCACGCATTGTTCGCGCTAGAGTCGAAAAAGGATGGGTAACCTTCCCAAGGATGCCCTTGCATCCTTGCCTCTTCGGTCCATCCTCAACCTCTTTCGATTTTCAGCCCCGCTCGAAGAGCCTGGATCTTGGCGTCCAAGGCCCTTGCATCCTTACCGCGCATCCTTACCTTCAGTTTTGACAGTGCATTTTTCTATGCCGTAGCCGTCCAGACCGAGGCGTCTTACCGCAACGCAGACAAAGGCTGGAGCGACGAGCCAGGAACACGATCATGGACAGGGACGCCTCTGCAGGTCCTGAGGGAGAGCACTGGAGCCTCCGAGCTCCGAGTTTAACCCCCACGGAGGGGGCGAGGCGGAGGATCAGAGTGAACCCAATCTGCGCCAACGATGCAGTCAGCCCGCATGGTACACCTTAGGCGATGCTTAAGAAAACCTAAGTTTTCGGCCAGAGCCTCGATTATTCTTAACGTTTCAATGTAAATCCTAAGATTTTGATAGACGCGTTGGGTTTTTATTCAAGTTCTGAGACCATGAATTTCTTAACCCATGATTTCTTAAGCATTTCGCAGGGTGTAAGGATAATCGGCTTCCCAAGGTTACCCGTGCATCCTTGCGTCTTCGGTCGTCTTCGGTCAATTCTCAGCCACCTTCGACGGCCCACCCCGCTCGGAGAGCCTCGGCATGGGAGTCCAGGGCCCTTGCATCCTTACCGCGCATCCTTACTGTATGGCTTGGCAGCACAGCAACACACCTCCTCCTCCTCCTCCTCCTCCTCCTCCTCCCTCCCCGTAGCTCTTTTGGCTCAAGCTAAAAGTTGTGAAGGGCTATGGACGCCTGAGAACCAGCGTCTAGCTTTGGGCCTTCCGTAACCTGCTTTCGAGCGGAGCTGAGGGTTCCCTTTCGTGTCGTATTCCTTCCTTTCGTGCTCGCCCGTGGTCATGGCTCCCGCTCCACCATGCAGCCGCGGCACTGCTGCTCAGCGTACTACTGGCAGCTATGGGGGCCAGCCTGGGAGCCGGGTGTTTCAGCCCGAACAGCGGGGAGAGCAAGGCGAATGGCGCCAACGGCGCAGGCAGAAACAGTATAACGTGTGTTCCTTTTGCAACCACTGGGAGTACGCGAGTCGTGGACATGAGGTGTGCTCGAAGTGTGTGGGGGTCGCCTATTTGGACCGAGGCGCCCATGTCGATGGTCTACGTGGAGCTGCTGCAGCCCCTGCGGCAGTCGCGGGTGCTGGCCCGCATGACGAGCAGCTGCGCGCCGCCGCTGCCACCTTGCTGGCGGCTCGGCCTGAGCTACGTGATACGCTGGGCGATCTGGCGGCGCAGCCTGCGCCCGTGGTCGTGCTCACCCCAGCCCAGCTCGACCCGGCGGCGCTTGGCCAAAGTGGTTGAGGATTCAGCTCGGCAGGTGCGCCTGGCATGCCAGGGCGCCGAGCAGAAGCGCACGAAATCGCAGAACATTCGAGAGCAGCTTGACGACGCGTGCGGGGTCTTGCTGGAGGCCGGGGAGGCCCAGACCATCGCCCAGCAAGTCCAGCGCGATGCGGACCAGGCGATGCAGGCCTTCAGCCCTGAAGTGTGGAAGGTGGCGAAGGCCGCTGAGGCGCGTGAGGCCGAGGCCGAGCGCCAACGCGAGCAGCGGGCTGCGCCCCCCGCTGCTGCGCCTGCTGGCGCGCGCGCCATGGCCCAGCCTGCCGCTAGGGCCCCTGGCGGGGGTGGCGTTGCTGGCGGCGGCGCTGCGGCGATGGCGGTCGACATGCCCGACTTCGGCGCCATGTCGGCGGAGGAGCTCGCGGCCTGGGCGCGCGAGCACAGCATGCCCGCGGCCCTCTGGGAAGCGTTCGTAGCCATGCGCGCCACTCTTTAAGGTGCTGGCGATGATGCTGGCAGTGATGCTGGCAGCGATGCAGGTGGCAGCGATGCAGGAGGTGCGGATGATGAGCTTCGTGCCCTTCGCAAGCGTGGCCAGGAGCAGGTTCTCAGAGCCGAGGGCCAGGTTCGCTTGGAGTCCCTCCTCGCAGCTCGTGCCAAGCATCGCACCGCCAAGCGCTTGCGCACGACCAAGGATCATACTGACGCGCAGTCTGTCGAAATGCTCAAGCAAGTGGTGTCCGTGCCAGTGCCAGGTGGGCCGCCTCTTTAGCATGGCCGCTAGCCGACCTGACCTCTCGTGTCGCGAGTCTTGCCCTTGCCCCGGGTATTCAGTTGATGGCAAGAAAGGTGATGGAGTATTGTTGGCGTATTGCAACATCACTTCGTGGTCGAAGATTGCCAAAGACTTTGCGTCCGAGGTTCGTTGCAGTGCCCATCAGATTGCAGCAGCATGTTTTTCCTGGTGCCAAGCGCGAGATTGCCGCAATGGGCTGGGGGGCACATTTGCAGGCAGGCCTGTCTACGGGGGAAGGCGGGGCGCACAGCGGGGTCGGGAGTGTTGTCAGTAGGAGCTTATATTTTCTGAGATGTTTGGCTCATGTGGGCGATGTGACAGATCGGAGTTCAGGTCAGGTTGGATGTTTCTTGCGTTGAAAACTCAGTCAGCTGTTTGACAGATGGAGTCTGCTATTTTGCCTCGCGCCTGGGGGCCGCGGGGGAACACCTGTCCCAAATGCGGGGTATCGCTGACTTCGTGCGTGCTCTCGGGATCCCCTGGATGTTGGTTGGCGGTTTCAACATTGATGTCGAAATTCTTTACCCTCAGTCCGTGCACGCGAGAGTGACGGCGCCAGCCGGAATGGACTTCACGTGTTCGCAAGGGGCTGGGACGATGATTGGCCATGCGTTGGTTTTCCAGGGTCTGGCTCCTTTCGTGCAGGTTGGTGTCCATGAGCCTTCGCCTTTCAAGACCCATCGGTGCCTGTTTGTCCGGTTGGCCCCTCGAGCGTTCGTTCAAAAGCTTTGTCATGTTACGGTATGGTATGTCGTGCTATGATATGTGATGAGACGCGGTGTTACGTTATGATATGTCATGTTATGGTAGGCTCAAACCTGTGATGACGGTGATGCTGATTATGATGAGGATTCTGAGGATGACGAAGATGCGGCTGCTGCTGATGATGCTGCTGTTGATGATGGTGTTGATGCTGCTGATGTTGCTGATGCTGATGATGCTGATGATGATGGTAATGGTGGTGGTGATGATGATGATGGCGATTCTGATGGCGGAGCAAATTCTGAGGATGTTTCGAGCGAGGCGCGGGTTTCAGCACCCCCAACGGGGAACCGCCAGGGGGTACTGCACTCTTCCGTCCGTGCCAAATTGGCGCTGATGTCTCGGGTGGTTGTCTTGTCTGCTGCCGCAGCATCCTCGGCTTTCGGAGTAGATTTCGGGGATGTATCGAGCGAGGCGCTCATCTTCGCCCCCAGGGGGGGAGGCTGATTTTGAGTACGTCTCGAGCGGTTTGCCTACTTTGCTGGCCAGGCTCGTGGGCACGGGCTCCATTCAGGATGCCACAGGCGGCTCCAGCAGGCTCCAGGACGCCACAGGAGGTAGCAGGATGCCGCAGGAGGCCACAGGAGGCCCCAGGAGGCTCCAGTCCAGAAGGCCCCCGGAGGCCCCACGAGGGTCCAGGAGGCCTCAAGAGGTCCCAGGAGCAGGATGCATCAGAAGGCCACAGGAGTGGCTCCAATCCCATGAGTTTACGCAGGGTTCTATACATTGGGCCGCACCTGGAGCACGCCTCCTTGACATGTTGCGATCGGGTTTGCAGGCTGCCCTTTCCCTGCGCCTGCACTCCTCAGTGGTGTACGCCTGTTCCTATAGATTGGGCCTCACATCTGTGCACGTGTCCTTGGTGTTTCACGTGTGTTCCTGTAGAATGTCCTTCTCCTGCTGCTCCACTCCGCAGTGTTTTCTATACGTCCGTTCCTATCGATTGGGCCTCTCTTGGGGCACGAATCGTCCCCAGGAGGCCCAAGGAGGCTTCAGGATGCTCCAGGACAGGAGGCCACACGATGCCCCAGGAAATCTCAGGAGGCCACTGGAAACCCCGAGAGGCCCCATGAGGCCCTAAGGGGCTCCACGAGACCCCAGAAGCCCCACCAGGTTTCAGGAGGCCCCAGGCGGCCCCAGGCTCATGCGCAGAGACCCGCTCGTACTACTGAGACTTATTGACGCTCCAACTCATCCACAGTTTGGTTCACTCCCAGACCGTCACTTTTCAAACAAGTTTATATTTGTAAACTCGTGCGCCTAGACACTCATGGCGAACAGGTCCATGCTAGTAGATGCACAGATGGGGAGCTCCACGCATTGAATAATTCCCCAGATCCAAAGGATGGGTTTCTAGTATATGTACGTGTGTATACGTATACCTATGCGTGTATCTATATATGTATGTATGTATGTACGTACGTACGTACACATGCATGCATGCATGGATGGTCTGGTCTGGTCTGGTCTGGTCTGGTCTGGTCTGGTAGGGTAGGGTAGGGTAGGGTAGGGTAGGGTGGGATAGGGTATGTATGTATGTATGTATGTATGTATGTATGTATGAATGTATATGTATATGTACATGTACATGTATATGTATATGTATGTGTATATGTTTGTGTACATATATATATATGTATATAAATGTATATGTATATATTCACACATATATATATATGTATATATACATATACATATATATATACAAACGGTGCATGCACTTAGGATTTCTTATTTCTCTTTTAAAGAGATGAGCCTGCGGGCCGCTCCGGCGGCCATGTCGCCGCCGTCGCCGCCTCGTCGCCGCCTCGTCGCAGCCCGTCGCCGCCCGTCGCATGAGCCTGCGGGCCGCTCTGGCCGCCATGGCGCCGCCCGTCGCCGCCTAGGCGCCGTCTGCCGCCTCGTCGCCTCCCGCTTTGCATTGCTTTGCATTGCTTTGCATTGCTTTGCATTGCTTTGCACTGCTTTGCATTGGTTTGCGTTGCTTGCATTGCTTGCATCGCTTCGCATATCCTGGCATTGCTTTGCATCACTTTGCACTGTGTTGCGTACTTCTGCATTGCCTTCCGTTGCGTTGCATTGTTTTGCGTTGCTTTGCGTGTCTCTGAATTGTTTTGTATTCTACTGCGTCGCATTGCTTTGCATTGCTTTGCATTTCGATGTATTGTTTTGCCATGCTTTGCTTCTTACTTCTTTGCTTTACATTTATTCTTCTGGCGTGCGCCACATCCGCCGACCCTTTCTTTCAGAAACGCGCAGTGGTATTGGCGCCTCCTTGGGTGGTCTTGGGGCCGTCCGACCTATGTTCCGATCAGTGTTGAAAAAGGTTCTCTACAGTATGAAAAAAGAGCGCGGGACATCAGAACCGTCCGACAATCGTCCCAACATCGTCCCCAAATCGTCCCAAAAGCGTCCCACATTGGTTTTGAAATTGTCCCCGAATCGGCCCAACATTTATTCCAAATCGTCCAAAATTCGCTTGTGGGGCTGTCGTGGTGGCTCCTTGTGTCGTTGTGGAGCATTGTGGGCCGTCCCGAGGCTCTTTTGTGCTGCCTTGAGGAGTGTTTTGGGACGTCTTGGGGGATTCTCGGAACGGGTTGGCTTGGTGAGTCATCAGAATCACGAATCAAGGCTTGGTGGCTTTTTGCAGTCCTTCTGTGCGTCTTGGGGCCCTCTGGGGCGTCTCGTTTTGGGGGTGCCTGAGGGCCTTCGAGGGCCGTCTTGGCGCGCTCTGGGGGGCCTGAAAGGCCGCACCCAGGAGGAAAGCCATCTCTGACTTGACTTTCCCGGGACCTTGCTGGGAGCTTGCTGGGATTTTGTTTTTTTGTTGTTTTCGCCCGGGGACCCCCAGGGGCCGCTCCGCGCGCGCAAATTAGAAATATTGTTAACCAGTTGCTCGAGATCTTAGCACGCCTCTGGCCCGTTGGGCCGGCGAACTTCCGCCTGGAGAGTGGCGGAGCATGCGCTCGGGATTTCCGAGAAGTGTCTCAGCCGAACGACTTGTGTCATCGATCCAGGTGCGATGAAAAGTGTTCGTGGCGTGACGCGCGTGGGCGCACGTCTGCATGCACGCGAAATGTCATGCCGCTCATTCTCGTGAGTTTCTTGCTGGCCTTGGGGGCCGACCACCAGGCTCAAAGTCACCAGGTAGGCTGGCAGTGAGCAACAGGCCGAGGCTATCAGCACTCGCCAGTGCGTTCCAGGGGTGAGGCTTGGAGGCGCCGGAGCCCGACGCGGTCTCCGGCCTGCTGGGTGGACGTTCGCGTGAGCGAGGTCTCCAGCCTGTTGGGTAAACGTTCGCGTGGCGGAGGTCTCCAACCTGCCAAGTGTACGCTCGTGGGTCCCAGGGCCCGAAACTTATTCCCTGACTTGGGACTGGAATCGACGCGCGAACGTCCACTCAGCACGCCAGTGATCTGGCAGGTTGGAGGCCTTGGTCACGTGAGCGTCCACCCAGCAGGCTCGTCACCTCGGTGACGCGAACGTCCACCCAGCAGGCCCGAGACCTCGGCCACGCGAACGTGAAGCCTGCTAGATGGACGCTCGCATGGCCGAGGTTTCTTCTGGCGTGCCAGAGGCTCCAAGGAGGCGCAAGCCATTTTCATGTTATTGAATCGTTTCGCTCACTCCGCCGGCCTATGTTGTATCACTGGTGGAATATGTTGGCGTGCTCGTGGCGAGCGATGCTGCTGCTGATGATGATGATAATGGTGATGGTGATGGTGATGGTGATGATGCTGATGATGATGATGATGATGATGATGATGATGACGATGATGATGATGATGCTGATGATGCTGATGATGCTGCTGATGATGCTGATGATGATGATGATGATGATGATGATGATGATGTTGAGGATGAGGAGGAGGAGGAGGAGGCGGAGGAGGAGGCGGAGGAGGAGGAGGAAGACGAGGAGGAAGACGAGGAGGAAGAGAGAAGCATGGGGATGAGGAGAAGGAGGAGGAGGAGGCCTCTCGATGGCTTCTTGTGGCATTTTGGGGCCAAACTTGGTCGTGGACAAGATGCCTCTTTGGGAGGCGTCTTGGGGTCTCTTGGGAGGCCTCTCGGGGGCATCTTGGCGTCTGGGACCTCCTGGGGCTTCACGGGGGCCTCTTGGGGGCCTCTTGGAAGCCTCTTGGGGATCTTTCGGGGCCTCTATGGGGCCTCTTGGGGGCTTCTTAAGATCTCCCGGGGACTTCTCGGGGCCTAGAGCTCGAAAGGTCCGTTCGCTTGGAAACATCTTGGGGGTCATCTGGGGCCATCTTGGCCGTCTTGGTCTTGGGCCGTCTTGAAACCATCTTAGCCCGTCTTGGGTGCATCCAGGGCCGGCTTGGAGACATTTTGGAGCCATCTTGGGATCTCTTGGGGCCTTTTTGGCCGTCTTGGAGGCCATCTTGGGCGTCTTGGGGTGGGGGCCTTTTGGGCCGTCTAGGTGCTCTCTAAGGGCCGTCTTGGATGCTTCTGTGG